AAGAATTTCTTTCTACTCTTTTTCTATAGAATTCTGAACCGAAAAATTGTTTGTAATAATCCTTAATTTATTACCTTTTCATTTTGTATAATAAGAAATATATAAATATATATATATATATATATATATATATATATATATATATATATATATATAACACTGTTTTTGATGGGTTGGAGTCAATAAAAGGGGCTATTTGTTGACTATTTTTTACTCGAGCTTTCAATTGTGATTACAATTTTTATCAAGAGCTTCTAAAAAATACAAAATGTCTTACAAAGTTGAACTATAAATAAAAAATTTTTTGTTAACTCACCAAATAAAATTAGTTTTTTATATAAAACTACTGCTTACATAATAAATACAAAAAATATTAATAAAAAAATGCCTTATTCTAATAAATGTTTCTCTGAAAAATTTAGATGAAGTTTCTTAAGAAAAAAATTGAATTTATAAACAAAAATAGAATAGCTACAACCAGCCTAAAATGTCATAAATACTAACTTAAAAATTTTTATTTTTGACATATTGTCAAAAATAAAATTTTGTTTAAAAAATTCTTCTTTGTTTAGTAACAAAAAAGAAGAAGATTTATTCACCATTGATAGATGCCCGAAAAAATGTAACAAATACATGGAAAATTCAAAATGTTATTCTATCAATGGTGAATAAATCTTCTTCTTTTTTGTTACTAAACAAAGAAGAATTTTTTAAACAAAATTTTATTTTTGACAATATGTCAAAAATAAAAATTTTTAAGTTAGTATTTATGACATTTTAGGCTGGTTGTAGCTATTCTATTTTTGTTTATAAATTCAATTTTTTTCTTAAGAAACTTCATCTAAATTTTTCAGAGAAAAATTTATTAGAATAAGGCATTTTTTATTAATATTTTTTGTATTTATTATGTAAGCAGTAGTTTTATATAAAAAACTAATTTTATTTGGTGAGTTAACAAAAAATTTTTTATTTCTAGTTCAACTTTGTAAGACATTTTGTATTTTTTAGAAGCTCTTGATAAAAATTGTAATCACAATTGAAAGCTCGAGTAAAAAATAGTCAACAAGTAGCCCTTTTATTGACTCCAACCCATCAAAAACAGTGTTATATTTTTTCCAAACGAGTCACAAGTACTTCTTTTTTCTTACTCTTATATATATATATATATATATATATATATATATATATATATATATATATATATATATACAGTGTAGGTAAAAGTTTGTGGTCGGTATGGTAAAATTTAACAGGATATCTAACGCAGATATAAAATCATATTTTCAGCGAATAGACAAAGATAACAATCATATTTCCCCTTGGTCTCCCCTCCATAAATATTTTTAACACTCCTTGCTCATTCGTGAGATGAATAGTTCCGATCAGAGATATTTTACATATTCTCTGGTTCCGATCATAATATACCTAAAAAACTAGAGGTGGATCCTCTCGTTTTTTAAATTTTTCTCGGAACCGTTTTTCGTAAACTGTAAATAGTTGATTGTTTACCAGTATTCAAATTAGCGAGTACACAAACATATTGGCTATTATCATTTATGTGTATAAGTATTGAAGTGAAAGAACCTAACGAAGGATATATTTCATATAACTTGAAAAATAAATTAAACAATACAAATAGTACTTACATTTACATTACACATTATTAAATCGCGAATCGTCTAAATTGACATTTAAAAACAAGTTGTTCCACTTTTCTTGTTAACCGTGTTCTTCTTTTATTTAAAATTAAACCAGATTTTAAACATGTGTTCACAAGGAAAAGATTTTGTTACAATACTACAATATTTTGGTAAATATGTTTAAGTTAGGATATACATGACGATGGTTTTTCCACCACGGTAATGGACAGTTCCAATCTCCGTTCGAAATTTTTTGTGGGTAATATATCGTCAGACAAATACATGTCGACTTCTTTTATATCTCTCGATACAGGTTTATGTTTAGATGAGTCACGTCCAATTAATTCATCAAAAATACACCATGGACTTAAGTCAACTTTATCAGTTTCTTTTTCTTGTACTGGTTGATTTTCAAGATTTACTAAACTTATGCAAAGACTCGTTTCATCCGTTTTCCATAGGTGAAGAACCAGCTTTTAAAAAGTTTGCAGGGTGGATTCCTGGATATAAACTGCCAACAAGAAAAACTGTCAGGTTCATTACTTCAGGAATGTTATGTCAAAACTGATTTGATAATAGATAAAATAAAAAGTCCTATTTCGAAAATTCTGCAAAAAACACATTTAAAAAAAAGTACCTTATCTTCAGAGAGGCTTTTAAAATATTAATTACAACATAACAAAGTTCCCAAACGGCCAATCCAAGACGTGGAAACTAGGTAGAGCTTCACCTACTACATGTTAAACAAATGACCGAGTTAGAAGAGGCAATCTGTTCCACATCGGTATTAAATAATACAGACTTAGACTTAGACCAAATCTAAATAAATAACACAGGATTATTTGTTCTCAGCTTTCCCAAATTTTACGGCCGTTTAAAGAAATAACAAGTACAATGAGTGACCAAAAATACTTGAAGGGTAGTTTAGTGATTGTTATGGTATGCTGCCTGCAAGAATCTTGCAATAAAATTTTAGCAAACGGTAAATTTAGCAATAAGGTTTAGCAAACCTTACATCCATAGTATACGACGTAGTACAATTACTAATATCGGGTTTAGCAAAAAGATTTAAAGGGATAGAACAGACTGGCACATTGTTATTATGTACATTTATGGATTCACCATTTAAAGTGCAGGGTTTTTCTGATAAAAATGAAGATAAAAAAATTAAAGAAAAAGTTAAGAAGCTACTTCTATAATTAACGAACAAGAAGATTGTACTATTAAAAATCAACCAGTACAAAAAAAAGAAACCAATAAAGATTACTTAAATCTTAGTTTAAAAACTAGCTTAAGACTAAGCTTAAAACTATTTTTGATCAATTAATTGGACATGGCTCATCTACACGTACACCTGAATCGAGAGTCCATTACAACGGTGGAAAAACCATCGCCATGTATATCCTAACTTAACCACTATTGGTACTGTAAATGTGAACACATGTTCAAAATCTGGTTTAATTTGAAATAAAAAAAGAAGACGGTTAATAAGAAGTAAAGTTGAAAAACTTATGTTTCTGAATGTCAATTTAGACGATTTAATAATAACTAGATTTAATAATAACGTGTAATGTAAATGTAAGTACGAGTTACTATTTGTATTGTTTAGTTTATTTTTCAAGTTATAATAAATAAATCATTAGTTTCTTTCAATTCAATAAATATACACATAAACGATAATAGCCATTATGTTTATTTATGTAGGTACTCTCTTACTTAAAACTACTTTTAAACAATCATAGTTACTTGTTTACAAAAATTTAAATTTTTAAATGCATTCATTTTTTTTGGAATCCTGAGAAAACTAACAAATATTTTTGAAAAATTTAAATGCAGAATAAAAGATTACATTATTACCGAGGGCCGAAAGTCTCTTAGAATAAACAAAAAGGTTTTTGAATGAGATATTTGAAATTAAAAATCACACTAATTTTTTTTTCACCCCTATAACTTATTAAAATAAACATTATAGAAGTTTTCAGGGAATTTCGGCCCTCGGTAATAACGTATTGTTTCATTCTGCGTTTAAATTTTTCAAAAATATTTATTAGTTTTCTCAGGATTCGCAAAAAATTAATGCATTTAAAACATATTGGAACGAAATTTTATGCCTACGTTCTTAACGATAAAACTACCACGACTCATCTCTACTACTCGTTACTCGGTCGGCCAAACCAGACCAGACCGAGTTGCCAAATAATTATTGTGTATGAATATTTTTTAATGTGGCGTTATTGTATGCAGTTTATTATTTCATATTAAGAATAAGGCACAATGTGACTTTAAAATAAGCTTATTTTAATGTTTAGATTTTTAATTCGGAAATCATACTTAAAATACGAAACATTAATAAATTTTATTTATATAAAATGATTTCCGAAGTGGAAATTAAAATGTTATATTACACTTATTGTAAAGTAAACTTGTGGCATATTCCCAATAAAAAAACAGTAAGCTGCCATTTAAATCAATTTCGCCTAAATTGGATTATCTTAGAACATTGCTCAAATGCAAAAAAAAACAACAGGTCAAATAAATCCAATAAGTTTGGCAACATTGAACTTCCCCTTTCAAGGCATGCATGTTTGGCGATATAAAGGGCGGACCTAATATACCTCTCTCTTTCTAAACAGCTGTTTCTCACACATACCGAATATAAACTTTTTCCTACACTGTATATATATATATATATATATATATATATATATATATATATATATATATGTATACAATGTGAGTGAGATTAAAATCTCACTGTAAATGAGGATATCGGTCAAGGAGAAATAAAAAATGAAAAAACTATTTTAATCTTTTAATAGAAAACGTTTCGTGCAGTATTTCTGAACTTCTTCAGTTCCAAAGTGTATTTGAAAAAATATATTTTTCAGCCAGGAAATTATTGGCCTTCCTGGTCCTCGTGTTTTTTCTACTATTCCTTGTAGAATTAATTGCAGTAACCCATATCTTTCGTTGTTCCTTATGATGTGACCGCGGTATTAGATTTTGACTGTTTTTATTATGGTTCACAACTCTTCTTCTTTTTGCAATGTTAATAAAACGTTCTGGTTAATAACGTGCTCGGTATAGGATAATTTAAGGATTCTACAATAAAGCCATACTTCAACAGCGTCACTTTTCTTGCAGGTGGCGTCTGTGAGAGTTCACGACCTAACTTCGTACAACAGTGTAGGAAAGATATACCATCGTAGTTACCTGATTTTTATGGGTACTGATAAATCATGGCATTTAAACAGCTCTTGGAATTTTATTTAGAGTCTAATATTATTTAATTTTTTTTATGGTGTGTACATTTTTTTATCTTAATAATAAATTATTATAAAGTTATATCATTATTTTCAGGCGTAGTGAACTCTGTTGGAACCTTCTTCTTCGACTCTATGAAACCGTTCGTACTTCGTGAAGCAAACACAAACATGAGAGCAGATATTAACAAAGAAATTAAAAAAATGGGAAAAACTTTCCCCAACTCGATTTCTCCTTTTGACCAACTCGTGTTCGAGATCAGACACAAAGTCAGAAGCTTGGGATATGATCCTTTTTTAGCACCCGACTACAACACCACTGCGGGTATATTTGAGATAACTCTTAGTAATACCTGGGTCTCTGGTTTAGCATCGTTCCATAGAACCAAAGATATCAAATTTGAGATGAAAAACAGGTCTATTAATGCTTTGTTGGAGCTCGGTACTGGGAAACTGTTGGGTACTAGTAACTGGGATATTAATGTAGTAGCAGGAATTTTATCTAAGGATGGATCAGTAGAATTCTCTGTAGACTATTTTAAGGTAATTGTAAAATTACACTTTTTTGCATTTTCATATACTTGTTTAGTTTTGCAATTGTTTATGTAGCATACTTAAATTAGATATTTAATAGTTATATATCATTAAACTTAGCGCAATTAAATGTTATGAGAATTATATTACTGTTTTGCGGAAATACGGAAATCGTGATCAAAAATTCTGAAATTTTAATCCTAATATTTATATTGGTGTTGGGTATATTAGAGAACGTGGGTAAATTTGCGCAAAAACTAACTAGTAAACACATTACTTCCCGCTGTCTTTGTGTGGCTCCAGACGCTGAGCTGCGCACAAAATTTAGTATGTTCTGAACTTTCAAAGAGTAAGGTGTACTTTCACAGATAAACATACGACTACAATTATTCGACACAATTTACAAATTTTATGGTTAATTTATTGTATTTTTCTAAAATATACATAAGTTGTATATCATTTACATCTAATATCCATTGGTGTATATTTAATAAACATTAAGTATTTCATTTGGAATGACACAAATATGTATTGGACGATTCCGGGCAATCGGAGTGGGGTAATTTCGCGCAGCGTAGATTTACCCAATGTGAAATGTATAGTAGTAGGTATTTTAAATTTTAGAGGCCAAAAACTTATCACAAAAGAAGCAGTAAATCCAGTTATGAAGAATGTCAATGTATTTTCAATAAACGCTGTGCGATCTGGAAGAAAAATAAGGAAAATAAGCCGAAGTGTTGATGTATCAGAGTAAATATTAAGAGACAGAATAAAAATAGCAGATACAAAAAAGAAAAGGTAAGCCCAAAGGCTGTATTTCCTAAAAAAAGGAAGCAGAATTGCCGGCATACAATTTAAAATTATCCAAAATATTTTTTGGTTTATCTAGAGTGAAATTAGGAGACTTGTATTTACCTATACCGAGAAAATAAAATGTTCATGTTTTAATGCAGAACAAACGGAAAAAGATTTGTTAGCACTATTCATGAAGGGACATCCACAGATCAGGTTACGTCAGCCTGTGTACGTTGAAACTGTGATGAATATATATAAATTTACTCAAGACCGTATTTATAATACTGATGAGACCAGTATCACTACTGTACAAAAGCCAGGGAATTCGTAAGAAAGAGGTAAAGCGGTCACCATTCTCTATGCATTCAGTGCTTCAGGGTCTTATGTACCACCAATGTTAATTTTCCCAAGAAAAAGAATGACTAAAGAACTCCAACAAAATTGGTCCAGCAGGTGCTTTCTACAGACGTTCAGATAATGGCTGGATAAAGAAAGCCTTATTTACGGAGTGACTAAAATATTGTTAACACTATGCAAATGCAGTCCAAAGAAGAACCGATACTTTTGATTTAAAACAATCATTCAGGATATATACCATTGGCATCTGATGATATATGCAAAAACAATGGCATTTGGCATTTTACGCTTCCTACAAAAAAGTTAATAATAAACAATGTGACGTATTTATGAGAGCACATCCATTAGAATAAGAAATCAATATAAATTAGCTGAAATATTTTACTTATCTACTTTAAACGTGAAGATAATGGATAGAGCCATACATCTAGTTTTATATCTACAGGCATCTTTCCGTTGGAATCAGATAAAGTCCATGATGAATTAGGTTAATCAGATGAAACATTTGCTCCAGTTATATCAGAAAAGCATATAATTCAACCAAAAAATATAATCGATAAAGAAGGTCAAGACGTCAGTGGATTTCCAGCGGGTTGTGGTGTATCTCATATTCATTTTTAATCATTACCTGATGGATGTTTCCAGTTATTTCCCAGAAATACTAGACATTCTCATATTTACATATACACATATAACAATAATGCTAAGTCGTTTCAGCCAATACCTCCTGTAACTCCTGGTATATATGTTGTTCAGTCCAATGAAAAATCAATTGGAGTATGAAGAAAAAAGGCAGAAGAGAATAATCTCTTTTTCTCTCTCTTTTCAGCCTTCACTAATCCAACTTTGGACATCTACCTCTCACAAATTAATCCAGTGTTTTCTATTTTGCGCCATTTGCTTCCAGTTGTGTCCTCCGATCTTCTTAATATCATCCGCCCATCTCATTTGTGGTCTACCTGTGCTTCTCTTTCCTAACCATGGTCTCCATTGTTGTATTTAGTGGTTTCATCTTTTATCCCTCAGTAGGAAATTGTGTCCTGCGAAGCTCCATTTTAATTTGGCAGCATGTTATCCTGCGTCTTTTACTTTGGTTTTGCTTCTAATCCATCTGTTTGTTTTTTTTTTGTCTGTAAGTCTCACTCCGAGCATTGATCTTTCCATCGCTCTTTGTGCCTTTACTATTTTATCCATATTAGACTTGGTAAGTGTCTACGCCTGTGAACCATACGTGAGTATGGGGAGGATACACTGATCGTAAATTCTGAGTTTCAAATATTGTTCTATTTTAGTGCTTTTCCAGATTCAACTAATTTTTACAAATCCTGCATACACTAACCTTATTCTTCTGATAATTTCGGCAGTTTGATTTTCTTTTTTAACTTTAATTATCTGTCCCAGGTAGATGTATTCACTTACTGTTTCTAAATTTTTGTCGTTCAACGTTATTCTCTAATGTTCGGTGTATTTGTCAATATTTTTGTTTTTTCCAAGTTCATCTTAAGACCTACTTTTTCCGAAGCTTGAAATAGTGGCGTCATCATGGTTTCTAGTTCTTCGAAACTTATAGCGAATATTACAATATCATCAGCGTATCTCAAATAACTCAGTTTTCTTCTATTAACATTTATTGCTTTATCTCCCCAGTCTTAAACAATATTGTTCTGAAGCTATTATCTTGTGGCATTTTAAATGAATTACTAATTTAACTGGGAATAAGCCACAACTAAAGATAACAATATGTTTATTGACGTTTCAATTTCCACTTCGGAAAGCTATTTCCACAAGAAAATAGCTTCAGAACACTATTAAGAAACCGTTATGGGCCCAGCGTTATTCAAAATTTTCGGAGATTGGAAATTCTAAACAAGAAACTGGCACATTGTCAAAATTCAATTAAATTTTTACGAAGATGTAGAGACAACAACCTAATACCAAAGGGCTTGAAGTTACGTCCAGCATATTCAAGCAGAAGGTTGGAAAACATTCTACATAGAGCCAGTTTGTCCATGATCCGAGAAAGATTACAATATCATAGATCGAATTTATTGTTTGTTGAACAAGATATTGTAAGTATTGAAGATTTGCTTTTCAATGTGATAGATTTCCGAAGTGGAAATTGAAACGTCAATAAACGTATTTTTATCTTTTATTATAGTTTATTCCCAGTTAAATAGTAATTAGTCTTAAACAAGTCTTAAACACGTCTTACAGTCCAAGTGTGAATAGCTGTGGTGAGATAACATCTCCTTGGCGAACTCCTCTGTTGATTGGTATAGCTTTGGTTTTGCATCTCTTTGTATTTTTATTGTAACTTTCTTGTAAATATTATGTATGAGCATTCTGTATCGGGATTCTATCCTGCATTTGTTCATAGCTCTCTCTATTGCCCAAAGTTTTATGAAGTCGAATGCCTTTTCATAATCAACGAAGCCAATGTATAAGTTCAAGTGATATTCATTGGCTTTCTCTATTAGCGTTAGCTGTAGATGATCCTCTGTACTTTAACCTTTTCGGAATCCTGCCTGCTCTACCGGTTGATATCTATCGAGCTTCGACATTAACCGGTTAGTTATTACTCCCATAAACAGTGTGTACATTTAGGACAGCAGGGAGATTGGTCTGTAGTTCTTTAGATCTTTCCTTTCTCTTTTTATGAAGAGAAGTGTTGTCAAACTTTCATTCCAATCATCTGGGACTTCTCCTCTATGAAGACATTCGTTGAAACAAATTTTCAATTCTTCGAGAATAATTTCACTCCCTTCCTTTAACATTTCTACAAGTGTTCCATTTGGGTTTGGAAACTTATTGTTCTTTAGTTGTGCCATAGCTTGTTTTATTTTGAAGGATTCTATGTCAGGGAGTATTTCTGAGTTAACATTCGTTATCTTTCTTTTAAGATCTTCCTTGCAGTGTTATCTGGGTTCTTGTTTGAGGAATATAAATCACTGTAAAATGCTTGAGTAACTTATTTGTTTGAGAATTTTATTCTTTTCTCTTATGTCTTTTCCATCTTTATTCTTCAATGTGATTATTATAGGCTTTTCTAAGTTTGATCTTAAGCATTTCAGGCCTCGGTTCTCTTCTATTATTTTTTCTAGCTTCCTTTCATTGTAGGTCTGTATATCTTCTTTTACTTCCTTTTTTATTTGTTTATTCAATTCTTTGAAACCATCGGTGTTTCGCGTTTCTTCGCTTAGGTATGTGCATCTCTTTTCCATTAACCGTTTTGTTCCATTACTTATTCTGTCTTCTTTATTTTTCGTTTTCTTTGCAATAGCCAGTCCTGCTTTCAAGGCCTCTTTCAAGGATGCATCAGTGCAAACATAAAATCCAAAAATGTTTGAAACGATGAAAATATGAAAAGTAAAGGAACTCCAACAACCAAAAAAATTCACACCAAAAAAAAAAAAAACACATGTACAATAAGTAACATTTGTATGATAGTTCCACCATGGAAGAGTCATTGGATGAAAAACGAATTTGCGAAGATGATGAACTTGATGTAGATGTCAATTCTACGGAAAACAGTTGTGTTATATGTGACGAATTTGGTAAAAACAATGAACTTATGGTACCGATGCACGTTGTTCTGGATGGACACATGGCGACTGCTCGGATGTAGATTGAGCGATCTTGAAGATTAAATTTGTGACAATTTAAAAATTAATTTTTGCTTTGTTTTAACCAGTTTTAATAAAAAAATAAACCATTGTATCGTGTTAAATTTACGCGGAGTTATCCCAAACAATGCGTGGATTTATCCACTGTATGGGGTAATTCCGTGAAATAAAATTATTTAAAAATTATTGTATTATTGACAATTGACTTACTTGGTCTTACATATTAACCATAGT